ATATATATATATATATATATATATTAACACTGATCTCTGGCTGAAGGAGACTCGAACCTACGAACCTTAGGACAAGGTACGCAGTGCTTTACCAATCTACCCACACTGGACCAAATACCTTGGCGTGTAGCATGAGCTACACGTTTGATCCAAGGCAGCCAGCTTTCAGCTCATGCTACACGCCAAGGTATTTGGTCCAGTGTGGGTAGATTGGTAAAGCACTGCGTACCTTGTCCTAAGGTTCGTAGGTTCGAGTCTCCTTCAGCCAGAGATCAGTGTTTGTGTATATTTCGCATGCTCTCGCGAATTCCTTGCATATTTATATATATTTATATATATATATATATATATATATATATATATATATATATATATATATATATATATATAACTCGAGTGTGTAGTGTGATCTAATAATGTGTACATGAATGTGAAGTTGGACCTACGTGTAAGTAGAAATAGCAAGATATACCTATTATCCTGCGTGTTTGTAAGAAAAAAAAGACATCAACAATTGCACCATCATATAAAAGAATTGCAAGTTTTCGTTTTTTCACAAACTTGGTAGGACGGTTGGGTGGGTGCTGTCTAGTGTAAGTACAAGTACAAGTAACAAGATGTACCTGTTATCTTGCGTATTTATGAGACAGAAAAGACACCAGTAATGCAATCATTGTGTAAAACAATTACAGGTTTCCGTTTCACACGCATTTGGTAGGACGGTAGTACCTCCCTGGTTGATTGCTGTCTACCATTATATATATATATATATATATATATATATATATATATATATATATATATATTATATATAATATATATATATATATTATATATAATATATATATATATATATTATAATATATATATATATATAATATATATAATATATATATATATATATATATATATATATATATATATATATATATATATATATATATATATATATATATATACACACTGGGATTGGAATTTGCTGCAATAAGGTAAAACTTCTCCAGATTTCTTCCTTCCAAGTACTCTCTTAATAAAGTTTGTGGAAGCAGCGGATTTAAGTATACTCGATAGTGTATAAACACAGACATACGTTAGAACGACAACTGCCAACAGCTGGTTAGGTTAGTGGGGTTTAAAGCCTATCAACTACACGTGAATCATTAAGGCTGCATGTAACATGTTCACCACCAGTCAAGAATACTCGAATCCCAAATATTGGGATTAAAATATTCTGGGCTGGTGTGTTGTGGGGGTTCGTAGGAGATATGAAAGTTGGAGATAAACACATTTGTTGGATGGTAACACTATAGTGCAGTGTGAGAAGGGAGAGCCCAAACTGCCTGTCCTACTACCTGCTTGGTTAGGTTAGGTAAGGTTCGTCAGGAAACAGGACAAATGTTTCCTGACGCGGGTCTTAGTCAGATGATGACCCGCCTTTGGAGCTTTTGGTCATCTGACCGAGGCCTTCCTCTGGCTTACCGGTCCACCCCTTTAAAAATTATGGTCATTTATAACCTTTACCTGCTTGGATTACCGGGAACTGAGTAGGATCCCAGGCGTGAAGGGCTCACAACAGCATCACGGTGGCCTGGTGGCTAAAGCTCCCGCTTCACACACGGAGGGCCCGGGTTCGATTCCCGGCGGGTGGAAACATTCGACACGTTTCCTTACACCTGTTGTCCTGTTCACCTAGCAGCAAATAGGTACCTGGGTGTTAGTCGACTGGTGTGGGTCGCATCCTGGGGGACAAGATTAAGGACCCCAATGGAAATAAGTTAGACAGTCCTCGATGACGCACTGACTTTCTTGGGTTATCCTGGGTGGATAACCCTCCGGGGTTAAAAATCCGAACGAAATCTTATCTTATCTAGTCACTGAGCCTACTGACCAGAGAGCCTAAATATATACATGGATACGATCTACAATATACTACACAAGTATAAATATAAGAAGTGTTGTATTCTGTCAAGTACATAAGAAGGATCTCTAAGAATTAATTTGCGCTAAGTCAGGAGGTGCTCTAGTGATATTCTCTACGCCAGTTCAATCTCAAGAAATGATGTGATGTGGCAAAATATTCTGGTCTTTGCCTTCATTGATAGTGGTCCTCTTCCCATGAATACCGTTCAGACATCAGGTAATGTCCAGAAAGACAAGCGATGCCTAACCAAGAGGGAGAATTCTGCGAGAAAAAAGGTCTTGGCGAGTCTAGCAGCTGGACAACCCCTCGAGGTGTTCACCCAGCGGAGCCAGACATTGTTATCAGCTGCGATGAAGCTCGAAAAACATATGAAGCGTTTAGCATGATGTCCATAACCAACCCATTATTTTTTTTAATACAGGCCATATCCCACAAATGTAAGGTACTGTAACATCTTTTCCCCTCAGAGTGATGGCAATGTGTTGCTCAACACATTCATTAACAAATACAGACAAAAATAAATAAATAACAAAAAGGCAGCTTCTCTCTTTTATGTGCGGGTTATTTGTGTACAGACAAAAATCTGAGTATTTCCAATTGTAAATGACCACAGCACACACGAAGACCGTTCTGCACAATCTAAATAAAAAATATAATTATATGATATGATAACTAGATATTCCTGGAGGGATAACTTATAGTGGTTGTCCTAATTTGTATTTCCTTCCTTCAAGGTTTTTGTTCATAATTCGAGAACGTCTAATTCAATTGGCTTTAGAATTTCAACGTTGGTGTTTTGTAACTAGGACAAGGTTCGTGCAACTACTGACATGAGCAGGTTATTTCTGCTTAATGTTATGTAGAACATTCCCTGTTTCAGTTTCTGTGCCTGCTGTAGTGCTCCTCAAATTCTTGGCCTCATATCTCTACTAGTAAGTAGTCTCCGACTCCTGCTACGTCAGCCAGACCTTCAAGTCATTTTTAAGATTCATTCTTATGCCTCAGCTTCACACTGTTCCAGACTATGGAGCTGAACACATCTCCAGGCTTAAAACCCCCTTGTTCTGTGGATGCATTAATTTGGTTAGGCAAGTGGAAAAGGTTAGGAACATGACTTGTCTGGCGTGAGCCAGTGGGCTCACTCCCTGGTATAAGAACCTCTGTAAGTAGATGACACTGTGAAACATGAGTATAAAACGTCAAATAACATGACTTATAACATAACCTATAATAACATGGCTTATAATACCATAACCTATAACAACATAACTTATAATAGGATAAGAATTTGTTCGGATTTTTAACCCCAAAGGGTTAGCCACCCAGGATAACCCAAGAAAGGCAGTGCTTCATCGAGGACTGTCTGTCTTATTTCCATTGGGGTCCTTAAATCTTGTCCCCCCAGGATGCGACCCACACCAGTCGACTAACACCCAGGCACCTACTTGTTTGCTAGGTGAACCGGGACAGGTGTAAGGAAACACGCCCACTGTTTCCTCCCTTGCCAGGGATCGAACCAGACACTCAGTTTGAGAGGCGAGGGTTGCCTACGAGGCCACGGGACAATTTGACCTATAACTGGTAGCTAAAGCTCTCGTTTCGCACGGCGAGGGTCTGGGTTCGATTCCCAGCGAGGATAGAAACATTGGGCGTGTTTCTTTACACTTGTTGTATATGTTCTCCATCTGTAAAAATGGGTACCTGGGTGTTAGTCGACTGGTGTGGGTCGCATCCTAGGACAAAACTGACCTAATTTACCCAAAATGCTCAGTATAACAAGCGGCTTTCCATATAGTAGTATGTCATTGATGTCAGCTAGGCCTGAATACCTTGTACATGTACTTGTAGAAATAAAGATATTAAAAAAAAACTAGAATAAGCCAGCTGAGAGCAAATGATGAATGACACTGACAGGGCCGTGATGGTGTCGGCCAGTTTTCCTTATCCCTATGAAATGTTGAAATTCAGAACAGCTGTAATGAAAGGCGATTCTAATAGATTTATTTTGTAATCACAGCTTGCCTGGGACAAGAAGGGTACTTCTTCCCGGTCTGTATTATGTTTAAAAAATTAACACTGGAAGATAGCCGAGGATTACTTTACGCCTTACAAATAGTTCTCAACAGGATTCTGTTGTCGGGATTTACTCCAGTTTCAGAGGTATTTTTTTTTTTAACAAACCGACCGTCTCCCACCGATGTTGGGCGACTCCGAAACAGGAAGCACATTCATTGTCACTATTTATTTTGCCAGAAATATGCTATCACAGTTCAAATGATTATGCAAACTACAACATCCTCATTCCATTGTAGGCACTGTACCTCCCACCGCCAGGAAGGAAGTCGAACTAACCGATTTTCTCTGACTCCCATCATAAATGTTACCCTGATCACAATCCAGCTGCACGTCAAACCATACAGACCCAGCGTTTCCATTCCCTCCGATCCAACATCCTCACAAAAGGCTGCTGAATGCTCAAGCCCCTAGCACTCAAAACCTCGTTACCTCCTCCCTTCAACTCCTCCTGGGAACACCTTTACCCTTCCTTCCCTCTACCCCAGATTCATACACCCTCTAGGTCATCCTATTCTATTCTTCAGATCACCTCAACAACTTCTCAACCCTCTGAATAATACGTCTGATATCCCCACATTTAATTTCTACACTCCAAATTCTCTGTAAAATATTTAACAGCACAGATTGCTCTCAAAGACATCTTCACTGCCTCCAGCTTCTTGTAACGTTTGAAGTTTCGGTTTTCATTGGTCGATTCTTTTCCTATGTGAATTGGAAAGCTTAACACTCACATTGTTATGATAAGTAAACACTAATTTCTTTTGCTGAATGGTTATCCTATTTATCTTTGCCTCTCACGGTGACTAGTGTCAGGTATTTTGAAGATTTTTCCCTCTTTCTTGCTATATTAACCAAGCATCAGGGACTTTTTTTTTCTCAATTTCCTAGTTTCAGTCTTGTAATAATCAGATACATAACTCTTCTTCGAACCTCATATATATAGGTCATGGCACTTGAATAGATTTCGAAATATGTACGTACACTAAAAACAGCTTAAGACTACCTGTTCCTGTGGGTGCTCGGAGCTACTAGAGGAAGTAGCACCCTCCCACGTTCACCTCTAATGTTTTACTGCCTTCAATAATTGTAGTGTTCCCACCTTGTACCTTCGCGCATGCGCGACAGTTACCATAAACCATCCCCCCTTATACTAACCACCCTGGAGCCACGCCCACCCTGGAGCCACTCCCACCCTGAGGCTAAGCCCACCTTAAAAAAACGCACACAACAGGGTCTATGACGGCACACGAGCCTACGAGGGAGTGAATCTGGGAAGTTGAGAGGCGGGGCCAGGAGCTAAATCTCGACCCTTTCAACCAGAAATACTTCTTTAGAAACAGATGAGTACAAGGGGCTACAGATATAATAAAGACGTGAGTTAATCACAGAAATGTCAAGAACTGTGGTAATACTTCTTTAGTCTGATTGAGAAGTAAAATGATCTGCACAAGGAAGTGGTGCAAGCAGATTATATGCACAGTTTTAGAAGTAGGTATGACAAGACTCGTGAGGGTGATAAGAGTGAGTGAACGTTTGTGAGTAATTACGAGGCAAAAGCTCAGAATTCAAGTCTCAATCAAGTGAATGCAACTATGCTGCTCAGTTCTGGTCACCGTATTACAGAATGGATATAAATGCTCTGGAAACCGTACAGAGGAGGATGACAAAGATGATCCCATGTATCAGAAATCTTCCCTATGAGGATAGACTGAGGGCCCTGAATCTGCACTCTCTCGAAAGGCGTAGAATTAGGGGGGATATGATCGAGGGTGTATAAATGGAAAACAGGAATAAATAAAGGAGATGTAAATAGCGTGCTGAAAATTTCCAGCCAAGACAGGACTCGCAGCAATGGTTTCAAGTTGGAAAAATTCAGATTCAGAAAGGATATAGGAAAGCACTGGTTTGGTAATAGAGTTGTGGATGAGTGGAACAAACTCCCGAGTACAGTTATTGAGGCTAAAACGTTGTGTAGTTTTAAAAATAGGTTAGATAAATACATGAGTGGGTGTGGGTGGATGTGAGTTGGACCTGACTAGCTTGTGCTGCTGGGTCTGGTGCAGTGCTCCATCCTTGAGTGGAGATGATCAGACTGGGTGGGTCATTGGGCTAATCCGGGGGGTGGGGGTCATTGGTCTAATCCGGGGGGGTGGACATGGACCTGCTCCGCATGGGTCAGTAGGCCTGTTGCAGTGTTCCTTCTTTCTTATGTTCTTATGTTCTTATGCTACTACGATTCTGGCTGGGATTTTCAAGGAATCTTAAGAATCACTGTTATGAGGGAGCAGGGCCCACGGGTTCGATTCGATAACCAAAAGTTTGATAAGTTGGGAAAGAAAGAAGGATGGAATATGGAAGAGGGTAGTGGGGTGAGGAGAAGGGGAAATAAAGTTAAGTGGCCCAACCATTTTTTCGCACATTCAAGGACCCCAATGGAAATAAGTCACTCTGACTTTTTTGGGGTTATCCTAGGTATTTTACACATATGCTGCTATGTATGATAATCTATGTAACTGTATTTGTGTATACCTAGATAAACTTACTTACTTACGTAATAAAGGTACATGGTCCAGGGGTGCGTCGTCCAGGGGTGCGTGGCAACCTTAATTAAAGTTTTATAATCTGCTACGTTACCCTTAGGGTATGTTTTGCCGTCTGTAACTCACAGCTGATTGGCTGACTGGGTGACTGGCTGTCTATCTGGTTGGCAGGATAGAGGTCGGGACCTACACCATTACCAATTTCCATGGGCTAGTGACTGATTCGGTAACACACACGTTGACGGTAGTGGCAATGATGGCAACAGTAGTGATTCTGCTGATTTGCAGTAAATTACTTGTGTCATTACACAAAACATTTCAAGAATTTGACTAAGCCCCCTGGCACTACGAGTCTCTGGCTCCATTGTATTCCTCTCCACCATGAATATGTACCATCTCTCTTGGACTGTCTAAAATCTATAATATTCTTACGCCATCCCACGAGAACCCTCGGCACCAGAGACATCGGTGGTCGTTGTGTTAGGTTTGATGGTCATCCTGTTAACAGGACGACCATGAAACCTAACAAGACCACCATGGTTTGTTTGCAATCGTGTCATTACGATTTCTTGAGTCTAGACCACCACCAAGCTTAACAGGACGACCATCATGCCTAAGAGGACGATCAGGAAGCCTAACAGGACGACCACAAGTCTATTAGACATAACGGTCTTTCTGTTAGGCAAAAGTCCAACAAATATTTATGGGAGTGAGCCCTCAGCATCACCACTGAAGTGAAGTGATGGTGGTGAGTATGATGACTGAGTGAGTTTCTGGGGCGTCAGTGCCTCTCGACATCTACTTCCTCTCATTGTCAGTACCTCACGTCATCACCACCCAATGAAAACGTCACTCACTCTCTCGCAAGTATCGATAATCATATCAGTATTGTCCAGACAGCGAGTGACTTTACATTTTAAAAAGGGGAAGGAAATCTACATCTGCTGCAAGCAGTGGCGTGAGCTTTAATGAACCTTGACTTTCATTCTAGAGCATAGCAACTGTAGCAGCAACACCAACAACAGAGACAACACAAACAGCAGTAGTAGCAGTAGAAAAAAGGCATCATCAGCGTCTGCAGTAGTTGCAGTAGCAGCAGCAACAACAACAATAATAGCAGCAGAAGCATTAGTAGTGGTAGTAGTAGGAACAGATGTAATATATATAACAGAAGTATTAATGTTATTGTTATTGTAACAACAACAATAATACCAACAAGGCATTATTATTATTATTATTATTATTATTATTATTATTATTATTATTATTATTATTATTATTATTATTATTATTATTATTATTATTATTATTACTATTATTATTATTATTAGTAGTAGTAGTATTGTTATATTCAAGAAGTGGCACTAAACCCGTAAGGTTCTCACAGATTCAGGGTAATGGAAGGGGAGAGGGTGGTTGGGGAGAGTAATCAGGTTTGATTCCAGGAAGAGGACAGTATCTTTATTGGTTTTTATTAACCGCGAGGCCTAGTCATGGACCGGGCCGCGGGGGCGTTGACCCCCGGAACACCCTCCAGGTATATTGGTTATTAACATCTTTATTAGTTTTTATTTTTATTCTTACTAGTTATTGCTATCATTATTATTTTTCATTATCCTTATTAGTTTTTATTACTCTATCCTTTATCCTAGGAAAACATCTCCCTTATCCTAGGAAAACATTCTTCTTGTCCTAGGAAAACATCCCCCTTATTCAACGAAAGTGTCTCCATTATCCTAAGAAAACATCCCCTTATCCTAGAAAAACTCCCCCTAACCTAAGGAAAACATCCCCCTTACCCTAGGAAAAATCTTCCCTATCCTAGGAAAACATCTCCTGTTTTATTATGAATCGTTCATAATTTATCACGTTGTTCTTCCTACACAATCCACCATCCACCATTCATTAGTCATTCTTACTATACAATCCATCATTCGCTACCAGTCATTCTTACTATACAATCCACCATCCATCATTCATTACCAGTCATTCTTACTACACAATTCAGCATTCATTACCAGTCATTCATTCTACACAATCCATCACTCATTACCAGTCATTCTTCCTACACAGCTCATCCTTCATTACCAGTCATTCTTCCTACATAGTTCATCATTCATTACCAGTCATTCTTCCTACACAATTTACCATCCATCATTCATTAAAAAATCCATCGCTCAGCGTGTAGTTTCTGCCGTTCCGCCTTTACTTCGGGTCAGTAAAGCACACTGACCACTTTATATTGACCTCCTTGGGGCAGTGTTGTCGTGTACCCTCACAATATAAGAGAATTTCCTTTTATTTTAACACACTGACAGTCTTCCACCGAGATAGGGTGATCCAGGGGAGGAAAAAAGAAACACATTCACCAACATTCGTTCAGTAGCTGTGTTGTCAGAAGAGTGCAGATATCACATTTCGTCTTCTGTGTATAGTTCTGCAAGGCTGAGGGACTGATTACCCCATCTACCAATTCTGTGTATAGTTCTGCAAAGCTGAGGGACTGATTACGTCACCATCTACCGTCTTTGTACATCATCTTTTACGGAACTAATGTGTTGCACGAGTGTCTAATTCCTCATCGCAGTTCGATCCTTATAAGTGAGTTTTCTCCGCTTCTAGATAAATATATCACATAATAAACCACTAAAGAGAACAAAAAGTCACAACACCATGACTGGAACAATACACAAAAAAACCCGCACATGGGAGAGAGGAACTCAAGACGACGTTTCGGTCTCACCTGGACCATTAACAAAGTCACACTTGAATGAACATTAAAATGGTATAAAATACCGACAGATTGTTAGGTAAGACACATATGCAACAGTTAGGTATCTTTATTTTGAAACGTTTCGCCTACACAGTAGGCTTCTTCAGTCTAGTACAGAAAAGTTGATAGAAGCAGAAGATACTTGAAGACTGAAGAAGCCTACTGTGTAGGCGAAACGTTTCAAAATAAAGATACCTAACTGTTGCATATGTGTCTTACCTAACAAAGTCACACTTGCTATATATATGCATCCTGAACAATGGTTTGAAGAAAAACTATATTTTCTATTATAATTTTTTATTATAAATATACAAGAACATATTTTTTTTAATATGTGGTCCATCTCTAGTGCTTGAAAAAAATATTAAAAAAAAAAAAAACGAAACCGAACTTCGAAATTTCGAAGTTCTGCCTTTAATATGAAATAATGAGATTTTTGTTTAATTTTCCACTGAAAATAGATTTTAGAGAACAAACCTGATTAATAATTATTATAATATATTTTATAATATATTTTATAATATATTTTATAATATATTAATAATTATTATATTATAATATATTCTATATGTAACTGCGAGGACCCATAACCTCGAGGATATATAGCCATTTAAAAGTATATAACTTTTGAAGCTTAGAAAGTTATATAAAAGGGCTTCAAAACTTATAGAAAAGGGGCTTCAAAAGTTATATACAAGGGGTTTCAAATATTATATAAAAGGGTTTCAAACGTTATATAAAAGGAGCTTCAGAATTTGTATGAAAGGGCTTCAAAGGTTACATAAAAGGGTTTTGAAGATTTTTAAAGGGGGTTTGAAAAGTTATATAAAAGAGCTTCAAACGTTATATAAAAAGGCTTCAAGAATTTTTTTTAAGATTTCTACTCTGAGCCATTTTAGTACCTTAGTGTGAGTACCTTAGTACCATGACTCACGAAATCGTAATGTCACGATTGTGGTCACAGTGGTGCCTATGCTAACCTTCCTATGGTGTAGAAATATACCTAGTTGGACGAATCTTATTGTGGCTAGCTGGTCCAGTGGTTAACGCGACGGTCTGGAGTTTAGAGACTGATCGCGGGGTCTATCCCCGCCCGTGGTATGGTTTGGTTTACCTTAGTACCTTAGTGTGAGTACCTTAGTACCTTAGTGTGAGTACCTTAGTACCTTAGTATGAGTACCTTAGTACCTTAGTGTGAGTACTTTAGTACCTTAGTGTGAGTACCTTAGTACCTTAGTCTCAGTTGTATCAGTTCCGTGAAACACTTCATAAATCAACAGCAGAATTTACAAGAGTCGCAAACACTCGAGCAAAGCCGTCCAAAATTACAGTAGGTTCGAGAGTTATGCTGACTAACTTAACAAAACGTCTGCAATGCCTAAGCTTGATCAAAAGTTTGTTGGTCCTTATCGAGTAGTTGAACATATCAATGGCAATAAGTATAAGGTTAGAGAAATTAATACTGGTCAGTATAAAGAATCGCATTTAGATCATATGAAGTTAGTATGTGATGATAATGATGTTCCAACCCAGACTAATGTGACAGACTCTGACAATCCTCCCGATCCTGTACTCTCTACCTCTGAGACTCAGTCAGACGATCAACCTGAATGTCGTTATTCCCTACGTACACGACAGGTATTGAGAAATCCTCAAGTATCATTTGTAACTACCAATTCAGAGCTGGCTCAAATACTACATGAGTTAGCCAGTGCAATAGAGTTTGATCCTCCCAGAGATGACACCCATTCTGCATATGTCAGTCTCACCCTAGCAGAGTTGGGGTTAAATGTAAATAACCTGTATAGATGAATAATTACAGTATCAACTTATTAATATTCAAGATTTTTTTTGTTTTGTATTCCCATTCTCTCCGAATTCTGAGATTTAGCAGTCTAGATTTGAGTGCACCAAGTCTGCCTTTCTGTTAAACACTTCTTTCTTTGTATATATCCTTTTTCAGAATCCGTAGACCACATGAATACAGATCGATCGATCAAAAACTGTTTTTTATCACTTCTATTGTGTAATCCCAATGTTGAGTTCATTCTATGAGTTGTGCTATATCATACCTTGTAATGCATTACAGTCAATTTCATTACAGTAAATTACATTAGCTCCCATTCCAATATTCTCCTTATGTATGTTATAATGTTCAATTGTTGTGTACTTTGCCATTATATAGAATCAGCCCAAGCCGTATGCCTGCCGTCTCTAGTTTGTGTTAGCTGTATGTCGGGACGACATACGTTAGCGTTGCCGAGCTCTCAGTAGTATCAGTTCCCAGTAACCAGTTACCAGTAGTATGACTCACTACCAACCGTCTGTGTGAATCACTTGTTATTCACTGTTGCTGCTGACTATAGCATGTTTGTGAATGCCGCTCACCCCTAGTCATCATTCGTGAGTCAGTCTTAAGATAGAGAGCAGAGAGGCAGGGCGGGCCTGTGCTTCCCATATTTTCCGTTATAATTATACGTACTAACCAGCCTACATGAGTCTTCTTACCCAATCCACGTTTCGAACCCCCACATGACATTAGTGTGAGTACCTTTGTGTGAGTACCGTAGTACCTTAGTATGAGTACCTTAGTGTGAGTCTTGAATGACGTGGTGTGGAGTGTCTCACTCCATGTTAACAAGAGAGACTCTTATTTTTCTTACAAGCTTATCATAAGAAATCTCGAACCTTAAATAAGAGCTCTGTGATTTGTTCGACTATTACTGGCCACCAGTCCACAGACGTCACCCACTGTGGTGACGTCGCTCGAAATGATGTCACTCACGATAGCGTCACTCATGGTAATATTACTCAGGATAACATCGAATATACATCAAATAACAGACAAATAACTACAGTTTATAGTCACAAAACGTGTCTCTGGTTAGCATTTGCTTCTTTAAGATTCTTAATATTAGATAAGATAGTACTGGAAAAGTGCCCTTAAAAAGCCATCTTTTATTTCGATACACCTTACTCAATAAAATATTACTATTTATTTATTATTATTATTATTATAATTACTATTATTATTATTATTATTATTTGTGATAGTAGTAGGAGTAGTAATTTTGAAGACAGTCGACCGCACGAGTGCTTAAAATATAATTATGTGAGATACAAAGAGTACTGACTTTTTAAAAGATTAGTATGGATATTTCTGTTCGGTGGATCATCTATATGTCTGGGTACTTTTGGCATGAGTGATGGTAAATGTGTTTTTCTTCATTGGGGGGGAGGGTACCCGAACCTTCGTAGGTACTGAGCATCGGGCTGGCAGTCTTACGAGAGCATCGCCATGAAACCATGGTTGGAAAATTCTTTCCAAATCGATGTTCGACTAAGATATAGAATTCTGAGAGCCCAGATGTTACATAAAATGCATTTCTGGAGCATCTCTTTGCGTGTAAAGGACAAGGGGTAACTGGGCAAGTTTGGAAGTAATTGCATGTCTAGATCTTACTAACTAAGCACTGAAATACTTGCAGAAGGATTGACTGCTGGGGTAACTGCGCGAAGTAAGGAGAGACTGGAGTGAACTGAGTGACTGAATGAAGCGGACGGTGACTGGGTTAATATGAAAGTGGTTGGGTGAAGAAGAGAGTGACTGGTCTAACTGGAAAGTGACTGGCTGTAGAACAAGGTAACAGATTTAACCGGAAGGTGGCTGAGTGAAGCGGGCACAGACCGACTCGGTCGAAAAGTAGACGAGTAAATTAGAAAGTAAATGGATTAACGTCAGAAGTGACTGACGAGCTAATGGGAAGATGAAAACGATTTTTTTTTAATAATTCATGTTAAGTGCTAAACCCATGTGGGTCATTCAGCACAAGAAAACGAAGAGAAAGAAGGCAGCAAGATCTTGAAAGGATATTGTTTGTTGACGTCGCAAGAGAGGAAGTGCCATTGAACAGATCCCCCGCTGCCAATATCATCGTGTTCAGCTGACTCCATCACCGTGTTCCACTGACCCCAGCACAGTGTTATACCTCATTGATCTCGTCAAACATCTTGAAGATCGACATGGGACACTGTGGGTAGGCTGACCAGCAATCGCCATACACACGACCATAGTACTCGGCGTTCACATAGTCGTACATTTGACTCGAAGACGACCCGTACGAGGCGCTGAACGTGCAAAAGAAAAAGAAACATCGAAAATATATGAATTAAACACAAGATCGATGCAAAGTGAGACATCATTGGAAGACAAATATGAAACATGGACATTTGTACATTTCGATCTGAATACAGTCAATGACGTAAGAACATTAGGAGGAATACTGTAACAGGCATATTGGTCTGTACATGGTGGGTTTATCAAATCCAAACCTACTAACACAAATATTCGACCAGCCTATTATCAATGCTACCCAAAGAATATGCAACTCTGTCATATCCAACTGACTGAGTTGATTGTTCGGTGAGAACTGAGCGAGTGGCCACGGTCTCTCCAAGGAGGCCATGAGGAACTTACGTGAGAATGATGTTGAGGATCTCCCCCAGGAGGCCGTCATCCCTGAGTGGGGCTTCAGCGACCTCGCACACCGCCCTTAGGAGGCACGACTTGCCGTCTACGCCGAACCTGCAACACCAGGAAAAGGGAGAACCTAATGAGGACTCCAAACATAGCTCTCCTCTTTCTTCCTCTCTCTTTCACACACACACACACACACACACACACACACACACACACACACACACACACACACACACACACATGCGTATTCTATCTCTCTTCTGAAGACACACTAACCTGGAGAGGGTGTCGATAAGGACAGTGTAGATCCCCAGTCTATCGTCGTCCATCCTGCCAGCGTAGCTCACTTGGGTGACATTAGGCAGTCTGATGGTGAACGGAAGCTCGATGTCCAGGAAAGCGGCTGAAGGTGAGGGGAAAGTGAGCGAGAATGTGAAATGTGATTGAAAGAAATTGAAAGACTGAAAGAGCAGGGTCTTAGCTTCTGGGGAAAGCCAGATGTGAATATGATAATGGTAGGCAGTGTAATCTCTACTGCTTCTGCTGCCTCTGTATTCGACTGAAGAAGTCTACTGTGTAGGCGAAACGTTTTTGAATAATGATACCTAACTGTTGCACATGTATCTAGCTTATCAAGCAAGATCAGCTCTATCCCATCGCCCCTAGAATTTCGAAGCATAATTCTTCATATATGTTAATAATGACTGTGAAATGCTGATATGCTCGCCTAGGAAATTTAAACCAATCTATGACATCATCTATCAGTGAGGTTATACTATTTATGCTTCTAAATTAGACCTCTAGATCTAGAGCTTAATTTACATTAGTTGTAGCACCCCTGAGAATTTGTTCAGTAGCTAGGGTAGGTCAGTGGGTGATTAACTAGTTTGACGGATCATCATCTGTCAGATGATGTTTCCGGACGAAAGATACACTACCACTCATCCATGGCCTTCCCCATAACTCTTCACTCACCCCTGGCCTTCCTCATAACTCTTCACTCACCCCTGGCCTTCCTCATAACTCTTCACTCACCCCTGGCCTTTCTCATAACTCTTCACTCACCCATGGCCTTCCCCATTACTCTACACTCACCCCTGGCCCCCTCCGACAGTGCCTACACAGTACACATAATCACAAATTACAAAATCGCAGACAATAATCTTGTGAACTTCCCACGATTCTTCACAGCCGACTGTCTAGCCTTCGTTCTGGCCAGAAGCCATCCACGGCGACCCTATTTGCAGCAGATCAGCATCTGCAGTAGGCCAGCAGATGCTGGCGCACTGCAAATAGCGTTTTGCTCCATTTGAAAAACAAAAGATTACCACAGAGTAATGACCTGAAATAAGACAACGCTGATGACGTTTGATACAAGGAAGCATTTTATTCCTCAGGAAACACGATAAAGATACCTTCATACTCAATGCTGGGATTAAAGTAAAGTGTGTATATTCCGTGACAGACATTTCCTATAAAGACTAATAGTAACACACCACTTACTGAGGTCACCGATGTTGACGACTGGAATACATAATACAGGAGTCAGAGTGAAAGTTGATCCTGTTGGAAAGGCAATCGTCCGCTTCTGTCGGGAGTGTAGCTCTCCAAGCTCTGCGGAGGACAGCTTTAATTACCATCGTTATTCACATAGACAGTATTGTGTGGATACATCTTCTCAGCATATGAACACTTGCTGCACAGTACAAACACTGGATCCATAGTAAACTAGCTGTTCAGGCGGTACCAAATAAAAGTGTAGGTGAGTTTCCTTATACCTCCTGTCCCTGCTCACCTGCTGGTAAATAGGTACCTGCAAGTTACCCATCTGCTGTGGGTGGCATCCTGGAGGTGTGGTTGTATCTTATTATAACATGATTACTCTTATGTATGATACACACACCCACACATTTCACACTCCAATCCCATACTTCGTACACACACACACGCACACACACACACAACACACACACACACACACACACACACACACACACACACACACACACACACACACACACACACACACACACACACGAAACGATCAAGAGGTATGTGAGGAGCTCAACAAGAGATTTAAGGAAGTATCCACAGTGGAGACAGGAAGGACTCTGGGAAGACAGGACAGAGGGGGACACCAACAGGGAATATACCAACAAGTGCTGGATGACATACACACAACTGAGGAGGAGGTGAAGAAGCTGCTAAGTGACATTGATACCTCAAAGGCAATGGGACCGGACATGTCCCCGTGGGTCCTTAGAGAGGGAGCAGAAATGCTGTGTGTCCCATTAACCACAATCTTCAACACATCCCTGGGCAACTACCTGAGGTATGGAAGACGGCAAATGTAGTTCCCATTTTTAAAAAAGGAGACAGAAAAGAGACACTAAACTACAGACCAGTGTCACTGACGTGTATAGTATTCAAAGTCATGTAGAAGATTATCATGAGGAGAGTGGTGGATCACCTGGAACTGAACAAAAGTATGAATGACAACCAGCACGGTTTCATGGAAGGCAAATCCTGTGTCACAAACCTACTGGAGTGTTTTATGATAAAGTAACAGAAGTAAGAGACGAGAGAGAAGGGTGGGTTGATTGCATCTTCTTGGACTGCAAGAAGGCCTTCGACACAGTTCCTCACAAGAGATTAGTGCAGAAACTAGAGGATCAGGCGCGTATAACGGGAAGGGTACTTCAATGGATCAGAGAATACCTGACAGGGAGGCAACAACGAGACATGGTACGTGATGAAGTATCACAGTGGGCACCTGTGACGAGCGGGGCCACACAGGGGTCGGTCCTAAGATCAGTGCTATTTTTGGTATATGTGGATGACATGATGAAAGGTATAGACTCAGGGGTGTCCCTGTTCGCAGATGATGTGAAGTTAATGAGGAGAATTAAATCAGATGAGGATCAGGCAGGACTTCAAAGAGCCCTGGACAGGCTGGACACGTAGTCCAGAAACTGGCTTCTCGAATTCAACCCTGCCAAATGCAAAGTCATGAAGATCGGAGAAGGGCAAAGAAGACCGCAGACAGTATAGGCTAGGTGGCCAGCGACTGCAAACCTCGCTCAAGGAGAAAGATCTTGGCGTGAGTATAACACCGAACACGTCTCCGGAAGCACACATCAACCAGATAACTGCTGCAGCATATGGGCGCCTGGCAAACCTGGGATTAGCATTCCGATACCCAAGTAAGGAATTTTTCAAGACACTGTACACTATGTACGTCAGGCCTATACTGGAGTATGCAGCACCAGTTTGGAACCCGCAAGGGGTCAAGCACATTAAGAAATTAGAGAAAGTGCCAAGGTTTGCGACAAGGCTAGTTCCGGAGCTAAGGGGAATGTCCTATGAAGAAAGGTTGAGGGAAATCAGCCTGACGACACTGGAGGACAGGAGGAATAGGGAAAACATGATAACGACATACAAAATACTGCGTGGAATAGACAAGGTGGACAGAGACAAGATGTTCCAGAGAGGGGACACAGAAACAAGGGGTCACTCTTGGAAGTTGAAGACTCAGATGAGCCACAAGGATGTTAGGAAGTATTTCTTCAGTCATAGAGTAGTCAGGAAGTGGAACAGTCTGGCGAGCGATGTAGTGGAGGCAGGAACCATACATAGCTTTAAGACGAGGTATGATAAAGCTCATGGAGCAGGGAGAGAGAGGACCTAGTAGCGTTCAGTGAAGAGGCGGGGCCATGAGCTGAGTCTCGACCCCTGCAACTACAATTAGGTGAGTACACACACTCCATGTGAACAAATTCTCATACTCATATTTTCACTATTTCACACTTCTGTAATTTCTGTTTTAAACAATATAGGCAATGCGACCTGAGACAAGTTAACACCTCTTAACCTGTGAACTGAATTGTGCGAAAAAAAAAGAGAATGAATCAAGTGGACACACTCACCCATGTTGGTGTCAAGAGAGGTGTGTGCTTTCTTCTTGAGTTCTCTCTTGGTACGAGCACGGTATTCGAACCAGGTCTCCGTTAGTTCTGCAGCAGCCAGCACCGCCATAGCCACCACCAACACACCACACACCCTCAGGGCTCTCTTGCCCAGCCTCGACATTCTGTAGCAAGCAAAATGCTACTCACTGTTTCATTATTAATATTAATATTAATTATAATTATTAATTATTGTTATTAAATATTAATAAAAGTCGTCTATGGTGAATTGGTCATCCTGAGTAGTTCGGAAACTTTCGTCGGTTCCAGTTTACCATAACACTGGATCTACCGCACTTAGTCCCTGTATTGTTTAGTTGAAGCTTATATTTGCAAAGCGTTTATCCAGTCTGGTATTAAATGGGTATATTGTTTTTGCCATAACTACAAGAGGGAGATTTTCTATAAATCTCTAAAAAAAATCCCTACATTTGCATTACACCTCTTGCTACGGAGTTTCAAGTTGTCATGCTAGACTGCAAGAAATTTCTTTAATATCTCCGTTTCCTGGGTGAAGAAATTCTAAGGTTAGGTTAGGTAAGGTTAGTCAGGAAACGGGATAAGTGTTTCTTGACGCGGGTCTTTGTCATATGATGACTTGCAGTTGAAGCTTTTGGTCATCTGACCGAGGCCTTTCGTTGGCTTATCAAAAGTCTTTGAATCTTTCTTCCCAAGGTTTGTCTCTTAATTAGCACATGTGAATTGTGTTGCTGTACTATATGACAACATAGTGTCAGGGGCCCAAGACTATTCAACTGCCTCCCAGCATACATAAGGGGGATTACAAATAGACCCCTGGCTGTCTTCAAGAAAGAGCTGGACAGGCACCTAAAGTCAGTAGCTCACCAGCCGGGCTGTGGTTCGTACGTCAGTTTGAGTGCGGCCAACAGCAACAGCCTGGTTGATCACGTGGCATAAGATATCATAGCTATAAAGTGGTTTAGAAAGACACGTAAGCAAATACTAAGACATATTAGAAAATGTTTCGGTCCTGCTTATGTGTCTTTCTAAATCATAAGGTATAGCCAGTGCGCTAACCATTGGCCCAGTGGTTAACGCACTGGTCTGTGTGTTTTAGGATTCACTTGCCATGGGTTCAAGCTCCACCCGTTCCGTGAATTGTTTGTGTTATTGCGATTTCATGAATCGTGAAGACAGACAGCCAAGAAATTAAAGCCCCACATCGACAGCATTCCTACTTTCATTGGGAGCGAAAGATTTCCCCAGGTCGCCCGGAGCACCGTAGCCAAAACCTCGACCCCGAAAAATAATTCAGAAGACGACAAGCACTTCAGGAAGAGTCCAGTGGAGCCCCCGATGAAATGTCATTCCGAGCAGTGAGCACCATCAAGTACACACCTACACTTAGCTACACCTTGGCGACCACGAGGACCTTCTCCATGACATCTGGCCACGGACTACTGCCAGATTTAGGTGACGCTGATGAATATAACGGCCAGGTATAAAGTTATACCATGATGTACATATATATATATATATATATATATATATATATATATATATATATATATATATATACATATATATATATATATATAATATATATATATATATATATATATTATATATATATATATATATATATATATATATATATATATATATATATATATATATATATATATATATGTGTGTGTGTGTGTACATCATGGTATAACTTTATACCTGGCCGTTATATATATATATATATATATATATATATATATATATATATATATATATATATATATATATATATATATATATATATATATATATGCAAAACAACCACTCTGAAAGAATAGAGAAATTCCAAGCGCTTTCGTGACTACTCACATTATCAAGGAACTGTGAAAGTAAAGCATCCAAGGAAGCTATATAAGGGGTCTGGCCAGCACCTCACTATCAGATCCCACAATGGTTAAACACGTGACGCGCGGCGACCCAACTTGGATAGGTCCTTTGCACAACTCACCCACAAACTATTCTACCCAAGAAAATTAAAAAATTATTATTTGTCCAGTGTATTAAATTCTTCCCAAATTCTATTAATTATAAATGGATCTAATTTATATAAACCAAAGAAGAATTTAATACACTGGACAAATAATAATTTTTAAATTTTCTTGGGTAGAATAGTTTGTGGGTGAGTTGTGCAAAGGACCTATCCAAATTGGGTCGGCGCGCGTCAGGTGTTTAACCATTGTGGGATCTGATAGTGAGGTGCTGGCCAGACCCCTTATATAGCTTCCTTGGATGCTTTACTTTCATAGTTCCTTGATAATGTGAGTAGTCGCGAAAGCGCTTGGAATTTCTCTATTCTTTCAGAGTGGTTGTTTTGCATATTCTGAAATCACCTGTTTACAATGATCTTATTGCATATATATATATATATATATATATATATATATATATATATATATATATATATATATATAATATATATATATATATATATATATATATATATATATATATATATATATATATATATATATATATATATATATATATATATATTGTAATAATGTTATTGTCTCGAAGTTACTGTACCATCTCGACGTATGAGATCGTCTCATTATAACAGTTTTTTCTTTATTCTCTATCACTGAAGAACAAACAAAATACTTCTTTACATAAAAAAGGGTAGATAAAAATTTACTTTCTATTTTTTTACCACTACCACGAATGCAATTATAGCAAGTGATAGAGGAGTTTAGTTGGAATTTCTTGGATAAAGGCTCTTAACGTGAAGGTGTCGAGGTCGTTGTTTATCAAATGCATCTTCCCGGATGGTAATGCTGTGGGAGTCTTGCATACTTACTCTTGGTAACTTAAAATTCAAGTAACCATGTATTCGATCATCTTGAGGTCTGTGCAGTTCCTTCCATAGTCTTCGCAAGTCCATCTACAATCTGTACAAGTATTTCTACAGTCTATGCAAGTCTATCTACAGTCTGTCCATGTTTTCCTGTCAAAAGCACCATATGCAAAGATTTCTTGCAGTCTCTGAGCATGCAGTCTGATCATTTCTCTCTCTCTCTCTCTCTCTCTCTCTCTCTCTCTCTCTCTCTCTCTCTCTGGGGCTGTGGTGTAATTCTGAATGGTTTTTATGGTTTTATTCTCACTTTCTTAGTATCATTTGATAAAATGGAAGATATATTCAAGAAATAGAAATGATTTGATTTGTTTCAGGACTGGAAGTAACTTGAAATTGAGCTCAAAGTAACAGAAATATTAAATACAGTCTCTCTCTCTCTCTCTCTCTCTCTCTCTCTCTCTCTCTCTCTCTCTCTCTCTCTCTCTCTCTCTCTCTCTCTCTCTCTCCTTCACAGAGAAGACCCGGGCCAGGACCCGTCCTGGAGAACCTACCTGTCCCTGTTCTATCTCTGTTGTCTCTTACCTCTTAGAGACTTAGACGTTAGCAAGGTATAAACTTCCATTACTGAATCTATATTTTTGTTCCGTGAGGACTCGAGTACTCACTAGGTGTTTAAAATATTTTTTTTCCTCTCTGTTTCTTCCAACATTTACCATCTGACACTCTTTATAGAGAGTCCTCACCAACACTCCTTACGGACATCTCGTACGAATACTGCTTACGGGCAGTCCTTACGAATATTCCTTACGGGCACTTCTCACGGACACACTTCTTAGGAATATTCCTTACAGACACTTAGGAATATTCCTTACTGACACTTCTTAGGAATATTCCTTACGGACACTTCTTAGGAACACTTTTTACGGACACTCCTTACAGACACTCCCCACGGACTGCAAGTTCTCTGTACTTCAGAATATCCTGCTTGTTACCTCTCTTGAATTTGAATATTGCAGTTCCATCTTCATGTCGTCGATTATTTCCTCAATTTGTTAAATTTATGTACGAGTGGCTTGCACAGGACTTCAGTTACTTCTCTTAGTATTAGTAGTGATATATCATCTGGTGCTGATGCCTCTGATGAAGTAAGTCTTATTGGTTCCTCATTGATCGTGTGTGTGTGTGTGTGTGTGTGTGTGTGTGTGTGCGCTCATGCGTCCAGGGGCACTACTATGCATTACAGGTATACGTGACGATATAATAATTGCATTGTTACGTATGATTTGAGAATATACACTATCCTCCGTTAGGAAAAAGATGCATGTACATATGCACGCGCATGCATACGTACGCTTGTATACAGACGTATGTATACGAGCGTATGTATACGAGCGTATGTATACGTGAGCATGTATGCGTGCGTATGTGTATATGTACGCTTCTGAACGTACCTGCCACTGCCACCCACCTGCGGTGTTGGGTGCTACAGAGGCTACAGCGATACTTCTGTAACTCTCGCGGAAGGCAACTGAATTTTGAGGCCCGTGGCTCCCTGCCTTATATAGTGCCTGGCTGGCTTTACGTGTCAGAGCTCCACCCTTTCCCCCTTCATCTTCTAGCACCGCCCCCCTTTATCTACTAGCATCACCCCCTTTATCTACTAGCACCGCCAAGTTCACCTACTAGCACCTCTCCCTTTACCTACTAGCACCACCATCTACTAGCACCACCATCTACTAGCACCACCATCTACTAGCACCACCATCTACTAGCACCACCATCTACTAGCACCACCATCTACTAGCACCACCATCTACTAGCACCACCATCTACTAGCACCACCATCTACTAGCACCACCATCTACTAGCACCACCCACATCTTTCACATACAAAAAACTAATATCAATAAGTAGTTCTGTTATGAGTTACAATATTATTATTTATTATTATTATTATTATTATTATTATTATTATTATTATTATTATTATTGCTGTTATGTTCTCTTAAAAAAGTTTCTTTGGTGTAGGTAAGTGACCATCACATAACATGATGTGGTCCCTAGATTTTATGGGCTGGACCAGAAGGGTCTCTGTTATATGACCAAAAGTTCCACTGAATGACCAGTGACCAGTGACTACTGAGCGACCAGTGAGTTACCACCGAGTGACCACCGAGTGACTAATGAGTGACCATTGAGTGGGTCATCTCTCTCTCTCTCTCTCTCTCTCTCTCTCTCTCTCTCTCTCTCTCTCCTCTCTCTCTCTCTCTCTCTCTCTCTCTCTCCTCTCTCTCTTCTCGTCTC